GGATTCTGACACCTTGTCTACACCGGACTCACATAGGCTGTCTACACTGGAAGCGACAAAGCGACCATTGCAAATCATTTGGATTTTGTGTCAGTATGTCATAAATAGAATTAGGCAGCAGTTTACTGTCGTGGATTTGTCGTGTCGCACCGGATCCAGTGTAGACAGCATCACTGAATATAATAGGTTCTATTGTATTTTGTCACGTCACACTGCATTGTTTACGTCCGGTGTAAACGCGGTGTTATACCAAATAAAATCAATACAACTGTCCATAACAAAAGCTTTGACTTGTATGTAATTTTTCCTCATGTAAATGTCAGGACCATCTGGATCCTGAAAACAACCAAAAAGTCTCTTCATTCCTTCTATATAACAAGTCTGAATCTTATTGTAGTCAGTCCAAAAGAATTAGCTTACTTAATTTTGGTTTACCTAAAGCTTTTACAAAAACTTTACTCATTTAGCTTTTGGACTTCTTATTCCACAATACACATAAAATATTGTTGTCCTTTGAATTGTAATGCAATAAATTAATTTCTTAATGTGATTCTATTCACTGGTTTATTTCTCTTATCTGCTTTCCATTCTTGCTAGAGGCTTTTGGAGCATTATTCAGTTTGAGAGAGTAAGTTACTTAGTTTAGGAGTAGAGTGTTTGTTTTGCTCTTGCCATCAGGATTAAATTAATTGAGGTTGATAAATGCAGCGTCTATGCCTGATAATCTGTCCGAAGATCAAGTGGAATTATTTAATTCATTCATGGAGTCGATGGTTATTTACTCACTGGATGCCCTGCCAATTAGGATTTCTTGATAATTTCTAGTCTGAGATCTCATGTAAAGATACAAACATTTAATCACTTGGTTGAATCCATTAAATTTCTTTTAACCTATTCTAAGGTACTTCATGTGTTTAGTAGGCCTACTTTTCAACCCAAAACACAACACTGTTGTTTCCGATCAAGTGCAATTCAGTGCAGTTCAGTTTGGAAGCATAAGTGATTATGAATCCGTTGTGCCTGCTTTGGTTCAAATGAAAGTCTGGAGATCCTTTGGGGATCGTTAAGCTGCATTTGAAATCCAGCAAGTAAAGTAAGTAAAGACTATATTTCGTTTATGGAGATCCAATGTGTGATTTAAGTGTCCCCTTCATTTTTTGAGCAGTGTACAGGTATGTACCTGTACCTGTACCTGTATGTCTGCTAGAAGCATTTACGTAACAACACGGAACGCGCATGAGAGAGCTTTCTGTGCAGTCTCAATGAATTTAAAAACACTGGAAGCGCAGATAATATCTGGTCCGTTTTAAGTTTTTATGGACATATTTCATCTTCTCTTGTCTAAACATGTACCAGATTACACACCACAATGTGTGTGTGTGTGTGTGTGTGTGTATGCACGCAAATAATGGCACTGATAGGCTACAGTGGTACATCTGATCATGAATGCGATGACCAAAAAGTGTAGTGTGTTCGTTCGGAGGATTATCATGTTAAGGACAGTTTCAAATGACTTTTAAGTATGTGGCCTCCACCAGTTTTAAAATAGTTTAGGATTTGAAAATCATCTAGTGTGTCCCAGGCCTAATGCTCCTCAAAGTGACTCCCATTTTTCCTCCATTCCCATTTTAATATTCATTACTTAGTATAATAGGTCTGTGTTTTATTGGTTGTTGTCCCTCCACCCTCTACACTCCCACTTTTATACAGCATTACATGCCCATTTTTTGAGTCATTTTCAAATCTGAGATATTAACGACCAGTGCTAAAATAGGGGGGTTTCATGACACTTCTCTAAACCTTTAGTCCACCTAAACCCTGCCCCTGAAAGTTTGCGTTCATCTGCCTTCATTTTTAGTGCAACACCACACCTTAAAATCAACAAATTGGTGCGTAAAACTACATTTTCTCTTTTTCAGTGATCTGTTACATTCGGATGTGTCACAATACAGGAGAAAAGATCTGTCATTGTTTTCATTTCATTGCAACTTTAAAGCTTCAGATAAGAATTAAAATTGTTTATTACAATGTAAAAAGTAGTCAGTCTAATGACTTGACCAATCAGAATCAAATATTTCATAACCATGTAATAAATAAGAAATACTTCATTAGAGCATCAAGAAATAACTCCTGTCAAGCCAAATTGTACTTCCTTAATGTATATTTAAATAAAATCTGTAACATCAACAAAACATCACAAAAATATAAGTTATATTAGAACTTACTATAATATATATAATATAGTTTTTTTATATAACTATTATATTGATTATGAAAATAGATCTGTAAATTAAATCACATTTTGATCAGATCATATAGTTCAAAACTCTATGATGGTAAAATGCAAAATAACGGTAGCATAGGAGTCTGGCACAATAAGGCTTTCTAATGTGCAGGTCACATATCCTCAAATGGCTTATCTTGATCAGACAGTCTTAAATAAATAAAAGAGAACATGGCAGCTTCCACTCTAAAACAGCACCTGCTTGAATCAGTGTCATAGCCACTGTACACAACATGGCTAATCTGCCCTTTTGTGTTACTCAAAGGTTGATGCATGTTTGTAAAGAAGGTGTCTTCAGAGTTGTATACTTCCAAATCATGTCACCCAGTTCCTTTAATGCTTAAAACAGCGAGAGTTGTGAATTTCAGAGTCAACCACTGCAATGCATTTGCCTGTGGAATGGTTCTTTAAATAGAATGAGACATTTCATTACTCTGACACTCTCTCTTGTCAGTCTTGATAATGCCAAGTGCACCGGCTCTCATGGAGCACCTCATCACACTATTGTTGTCCCTTGTCTGCAGGCTGAATGGTCGTTGCATTAAAATGGTCCCGTAACTCTCCACAGTACCGGGATTC